TGGACAACACAACGGGGTGACGTGGAGGGTGTGTGGCCGTTTGGCTTTACACGTTGGACAACCGACTTTGATACCATGAAAAAAGTTGGAGTTCCACCATAAAACAAATTGGTAATTGGGGAGTAATCCAATTTACTTATAAGCTCATACAAAGTTCATCCTCCCATTAACGTGAGACTCGTCCTCAAAACTATGCACCCCAGTTGACACAAAACTGATATGAAATTGTAATATATTTAGGTGGTAAGAATGTAAAGTTATTACAGCAATAGTTTAGCAAAAGTACAAGTGGATTGGGCTTCGTTCACCCAAAAAAAAGCAGTCCATTGGGCTTCTGAGTGCTAAATGTGCTCTGGATGAGACAGTAATGGGCCAAGCCCGTATTAAATCACATCCCAAACGAATCCAAATTCAGATATCTTGTCGCCGCCGACCTCGTTCTTACGAATTCTTTATCTTTTTTTTTTTTTTCACCAAAAGTCTTTTTCAATATAGAGACTTGTATCCAACTGAAATTTTGATTTTATTTATTTTCTTTTATGAATTTAAAGATATTTAATTAAAATTTTAAATAATTATATGAAAGTTTAAGCGTATTAAATTAGAATTTTAATTTTTTTTATATATAGTCAACAAGAAGTAAATATTAAATCATTTAAAAAGATCAAATAATTCGAAATTTTTTGAAAAAATTAGTATTTTTAAGGTTCACAAATTTCACATTTCTCTATCAACAATTTGAGAAACTTTGCATAAAATCTCTAGAAACATTTAAATCTCATCCAAATTCATAAATTTATAAATCCGTTAAAATTTCAATTGAATAAGTGGGTTTTGGGTTTAGGTTGCTACAATTTTGGCATAATATAATCTAATAAGATTACGCGGACAGCAAAATCAGCATCTCCAAAAGTTGAAAGCTTTCAGAAAAGCGTAAAGGTGGAAGGTGGCCACTGACCAAGTGATCAGACGCCACTAGAATTTGTTGGAGTCCAAACAAAGAGAGATTCCCCACTGCGATTTCGTCGTCACCTTATCTCTATTAAATCGTCCCTTGCGAGCTGGGTTTAGTTCGCGTCAGCTGATTCCTGAAGGGTGGAAGAAAACCCAAAAACCCAAGACTGCAGATCTTATCTCGTCGATCAGGTACTTGCATATTTTCGATTTTTTTTCAGATTTTTGGTTCTGGGTATTTGAAGAAATGGAAAAAGATGGGATCTTTAGAATGTGCAGTGACGGAGAGCAGCTGAAACTCGGCCAACGGCGAGTTATGGAGGTCGTTTTGGAGAAGAAAGACGCTGCTGATTGGGCTTACAGAGGCGAAGGGGCTGCTAATCTTGTTCTCGCTTATACCGGATCCTCCCCTGCTTTTGTATGTTTCACTCTACCTTGAGCTTCAATCCTGCATTTTAATTTTTAATTTGAATTTTTATGGAAATAGTTGAAATTTGTGGTAGTTTGTGAAAGGGGTTGGAGTTGGGAAATGATTGTTATTATGATCATGCTTGGAGCTTAGAAAGTTTGTGTGTCTGTGTATGTAGATTGGGAAAGTAATGCGGTTGCAGAAAGCTCGAATTAATGGTTCAAAGGCCTCGAACAGTCCCACGGCATTAACCGCCCACGAACTTCTTTTGTGGAAAGACGTGGATGACATTGTAGCTACCTCTAACAAAGAACTTGCCTGCCAACTCTATGTGAAGCACGTCATGAGCCCTTTATTGGGTTCTGCGTACGTTGATGCCGGGGTATGTGAAAATCTGAGTTTATACATGTACAGATGAATATGTTTGTTGAACGGAAACTATGTTGATGTTTTGTCTATCTTTCCGGGATAACTATGCATGAAAGTTTTAAAACTATGTCAATATAGTTTGTAGATTTGGTTTTCCTGTGAACTTGTGCATGAATGGTTTAAGAGTGGCATATAATATTGTTGTATAACCTTCAAGTTGAATTTTGGCAGATGCGTGTCCCTGTTTCCAGGGAATTCTTGGAGTCAGTTGAGAAGAATGTAATTAGTCAGCGTCCTGCTTCTCGAGTTGATGCCACTAAAGTTGACACACAAAGTGATACTGTGCTTCTCATGTCTGATCATTCTCTTTTTCCTCGTGGTAATTAGTGTCTCCCTGTTATTTACAACTTTTACATTTAGAACTATCTGTCCTGCACTTGTCTGTCAATCTTAGCTATTGGGGTTAACATCGTATTCTGTGTGGTGGTTTAATTGAGCTCCAAAGTCAGATGACTTATTTAGCCTAAGATCCAGGTTTTCTTTTGCATGCCTGTTTTCCTTGCTTCCACTTGAAATTATCCCTTTACTTTTTACATTTCTCGGATAAAGTATGAGGTAATATATCATCTGGCACCTACACCACAACTCATAGAAGCAGGAAGAGAAACCTTGAGATGGCATTCTGCTTAGCATCATAGGAAATTTGTATCTTATTCAATGTAGACATCTATCTATTTGAATATTGTCTTGTGGCATATATGATAAGAAGTTTGCTTCTTTTTTTTGTTTTTTTTGTTTGTTTGTTTGTTTGTTTTAAGTGATAGCTTATTCTTCTTTGTTCATTTCAGTTACTCAAGAAGTTGAACCCTGTATATCTGTAGAGATAAAGGTACTTGTCGTGTAAATTTGTCTCTTTTGCCTTCACATGAGGAATACCCTTGAATTATAATTGACTATTCCCTTTTCCATTTCAATTGTTTCCAAAAATAGCCAAAATGCGGATTTCTCCCATCTTCAAAGTTCATTGATGAAGGAAATTCCATTAAACGAAGCATTACTCGTTTTAGGATGCACCAAGCCCTGAAGTTTCATGATGGAGAGGTACTCTTTTAATATGTTCTTCTCTTAGTTAAATTTTTTACTACACCGGAACTCATTTGAATTGAAATGAGTCAAATGAGTTCAATATGCTCAATGGGAATGCCATCTTATCTGATTCTTAGAACTTCTGTGCACAAATTTACACAAGGCCAATCCTGTTATAGTAGATGTTCAATTCTGACTTGGATGCATCTAAATGTATGTTGCAGGTATCAGAATATAGTGAATATGATCCACTCGATCTGTTCTCTGGATCCAACGACAGGATACATAAAGCCATCAAGGATCTCTTCTCAACCCCACAGAACAACTTCCGTGTATTCTTGAATGGTTCTCTAATATTTGGGGGCTTAGGCGGTGGTGCACACAGTACCAATTTGGCAATTAGGGGAGCATTTGAAGATGCACTTAAGGGTGTCATTCAGGGAGGTGATGGAAAGCGCACAAAGAGTTTTTTACAGCTTGTTGCTGAAACAGTTCATAAATCTGGAGTGTTGGACCGGCTCCTTGAGGCCCAGAAACTTGATAATCTTGACATCGAGGGGGCTATCCATGCGTATTATGACATTATTTCTGAGCCTTGCATGGTATGTGGAGAATTGGGTAAAGAAAAAGTGTCACAGAAATATTTGTCATTGCATTCCATGTCTCTGGATGAAAGCTTGAAGATGGTGAAGGACTTCTTGATAGCTACTAGTGCAAAGGACTGCAGTTTGATGATTAGTTTTAGACCAAGGAAAGATGGGAATCCAGGATCTCCTTATAATAACTTGTATCTGGAATCAACCAACCAAACTTTTGATTACAAGGTAAATATCCGTTTACCATTTTGTTCTGACTATTTACCATAGCATGTTACAGTCTTCAAAGGTTTTCTCTAGTAATCTAACCATTTCTTAACAGCTAGAGCACATTTAAAATTATAATCATTACTCTGCTAAGTTGAAAAGTGAAATTCCCAGTGGGGTAAATCAGTCCTTATGACATTAAAATCTTATTTGAGTTGCTTTTTCTTAGGTGAATTTCATTGACCTGGATTTGAAACATTTGGGGAAGATGGAAGAATATTATGAGTTGGACAAAAAGATTGTGAACTGCTACAATCAAATGGTGGAAACTGAGGAAAGACAAAAGAAAACTACCAGCACAAAGGCTCTTCAAACCGCCAATTGAGATTAGTAGTTACAATGCCATGGAGGATTTTTACTTAAAGATTGTGAGTAAGTACAAGTCAGCTGATACAGTCTTTTTTCTGTAAATTATCGATGTTGTAATTGTATTTGTATGTAGACTTGTTGGCTTTTGGCCATTATTTCTGTATTTCCTTTGTTTGTACGCAGTTACTTTAGATTGAGTTATGCATATATAATGCAACTTTCTAATTGGGTAAACATGAACATGGCATGCGGCTTTAGTGCTTACGTATTGTAACATTGAGACGTTTAAGTCAATATTTCATCTTGTTATAAAGTTAATGGAGATTAATGAGGGAAGAAGAGAATGTGATAAAAACACCTTGCTATAAGAAGGATGGGAGTTTACTTGGATTTGAGGTAATTTCTGGGCTCTACAAGGAAAGTGATGTATCAACTAACTTCAGTGTTTCATCAAAGCCCACATGGCCTATTAATTAACACAGCTAGATTTTCGTACTGTTGTACTGAAACAGGAAACCATGGAGTTCTCTAAGAATTTTCAAATGAATGATCTAAGTTCAGTTGTGGGACATTTTTGCATAAGCAGTTTACTGTTCCTGTGTTTTACTTAATCATATTTGTGCATATATATATATATATATAGATTGATATGCTTTAGTAGATTGTCAGGTAAACATAAGGATCTTACAGTTGTGAACAATGGAACCAAAAATTTAACTTTGAGCAGTAACCTATGAGATTTAACTACTACTGTCTGAGGTATAAAGCTTGATTCGGAGTTCAGATTTCTAACCGCATTGCCAGAAGAATAACTTTAGATTTGTTCCTGATGCTGGAAGGGCAGGGACATGTTTCTAGACCAGATGGTTTGCCAGATTGGAAGACTCTGCACTATGGTTGATCGGCTTTGGTATTGTGATCAGCATATGTCAAATACAAAGGCCGTGGGTTCAATAAATCATGCGCTGAACAGTGAGCTCTTCAGCATTCTGTAGGTCTCTCTCTCTCTCTCTCCCCCCCCCCCCTTCCCCTCCCCTATGTGTTGTGTGTCTGTCTGTTTGTGGATGTGCCTGTCTGCTTTTTTGTGTGGATCTAAACCCTTTAGAGTTGACGATTCGAGTGCAACCAATAAGGAATTAATAGCGTTCGAGAAGTGGGTAGAGTTCGTCAAAGTTTGCCCATTCAACTGACCCCACTGAGGGTGAAATGAGAAACTGATTGCCATCATTACTATTTCCCAAGACATTGTCTAATGTCAGGTCTTCATCAATTTTCTGGAGACATCCTAAGCTAAAACCTCATTAGTAGGTATTCCGGCAATCAGCTTATTTACTTAAAATAAAACATACAATAAACTGACACGCCTATGTGTACGAGCACACACATAGGCAAAGCTTGTTAGACCTTATCCGAAATTGTAGTACATTTGCATCATTTAATCTTTGCTACAAAATGTTTGATTCCTTGCAGGATGGACTGGCAGGAGATGGGCAATTTAGATGGATGTGTTTTTGCCTAGTAGGGGATGTGGGCACATGTAAATTCTGCATTGATTGCATATTGGAGGGCAGAGGTGACCCAATTAACAACCTTTCTGACCGGCATTTACTTCTAGCCAACTACTGCCGCTGTCATTTTGTACTCGACGGCTTCGTGCCAAGAATGCCCCAAGTGATGAAAGCATAACTTAGAGAGGGAGAGAGAGAGTGAACATTTTATATATAGTATCTTTTTGTTCATGCATTCTTTTGTCATTTGCATTTTCAACTTTGATCTCGATCATTCTCGCTCGCACATTCTTGATCAAGATCATGTCTAAGGTTTTCGCTCTCTCATTCTCTGTATAGATCTAATCAATTATTTTGTCTGCATGGTTTGTTTTTGTTTTTCTCTCTGCTGTGCAGTTAGTTATTGACGTACCATTTTTCTCTCGAGTACTTCACCGACACACTGCAAATACTTCAGATGGAATTTATATTTCTGAGCGCAGAAGTACGGAACAAATCTGACCATTGCCTTTTATGCTCTTGCTGCAGAAAACTGTAGTGTCAGTGGAACTGCTGTGTTCAAAGTGCAGGAAAAAGGTGATGAAGTTAATTGCAACAGTAGAAGGGATAACTTCCATTGTCCTCGACCCGTCGAAAAATACAGTGACGGTAACTGGGGATGCCGATCCAGTAAAGATTATCGGGAAAGTGAGGAAATTCAGAAAAAATGCTATGGTTGTGAGTATCGGTCCTCCGCAGACTGAGAAGAAGGATGAGAAGAAAGACGTTCCATACACTCCAAAGGTATGTCAAAGATGCGATGTTTGGTACGTGATTGCCGAAGATGGCTACAGCTACTGTTCCATAATGTAATTGCTATTGTACCATTAAATATTGCTCATAATAATTTGTATTAATTTCATGTTAAACTCACTAATTGTCCATTCGGCTATCAAAAGTTGGCTTTGCAGTCATTTTTTGAAGTCTTTGGAAATATTTGGATTAGAGAAATATTTTAATGGGATGTCAAGTGCATTCGCCCATGAGCGGTAGGTCTCGGGTTCGAGACTTGGGAGCAGCCTCTCCATAAAATGGGGGTAAGGCTAGCAGACATTCATCTCTCTCAGACCCTGCGTAAAGCGGGAGCGCACTGGGTACGACCTTTAGAGAAATATTTTAATGTGTCGGGAACACCGCTCAATACACCAAATGTCATAAAATAAGTGGTTGAAATTTTTTTTTCCAACCATTTGTATTAAACACTTGGTGCACTGGTCGTGTTTTCGGCACCCAAAAATGTCTCGGTTTATATGAAAGATTGTTGTTTAATTAAGCTATTTACACCACTTATGCCATATCCAACCGAATGAGGGTCAAATGGCTCCCTTTAACCTTATAGTTCTGCAAGAAATTATATTTTCATGAACAATACCTTGCCATATTTTATACCATCTCCAACCGAGGGGGCCAAAGGATCATAGGCCAAACATAGCCCTTTGACAAAAGATCATCTTCAACCGAGGGGGCCAAAGGGTCATAGACCAAACATAATTTATTATTTTAATTAAATTAAAATGGTTAATTAAATTAAACTACCATATTAAAATAAGGGTTTCAGATATATTTTGAATATCACTTGTCGCTAAATGATTAAGCCTCATATTTTTTATCTTTCTATAATCTCAATAATTTTTTTGATAGGATTTCGAGTTACACGTATTGCTAATGTGAGTAACTCTCCAAAATTCTTATTTTTATGTAGTCTCAATAATTTTTTGGATAGGATTTCTAGTGACACGTGTCGTTAAAGTGAGTAACTCTCCAGATTTCTTATTTTTATGTAATCTTAATAATTTTTAAGATAGAATTTTGAGTGCCACGTGTCGAGATGTAATTGGTTGTGCAAAATTTAGATAGGATTCTTATCTACATGAGGCTTCTTATCTTCAGTTTTTAATGGTGTAGGTAATTATAAGGAAAAAAATTATAATTTTTTTAATGGCTAGATGGTGTCATGCTGATGCCAGGTAGGCATTGCATTCAAATAGGCTGAGCTAAAGGGCTAGCAAAATGTCAAGCTTGACATTCCGGAGCTGGAGGGCTGGCAAAATGTCAAGCTTGACATTCTAACGCTGGAGGGTTGGGCTGGAAGGCTGGAAATGGCCAACCCACTGACCTAATTTCAAGGTTTGGGCCCGATGGGGCCCATAAGCCCTTTGGCCTAACCCTCTATTCGAGAGGGTTTTCATGTCATTCCGAGCTATTTTTAGCCCTAAGGCCTTTTGACCTGGTTGGTTAAAGATGACATTAGTACTACGGTTTAGTAGTATTCTTCTTCACTTGAAAGTGAGAGGTCTTAGGTGTGATTCTTACCATAGACGAATTTGAACTATATTATTGCTAATTCATTGTAAGGCTAAATCTACTATATCAACCTCTTAGTGTAGAAAAAAAATTAAGCTGTTTACATGACAAATCTTGATGATGGCTGTCTAGCATAACTCTAAGCTATTTTAAAGGATCCTCTCCTGAGCAAATGGAGAGGATCCTCCTGACCGGGTCCATCGGACCGTTCAAAAGTTATTCAACAGCTATAATTATTATAACTTTTAGTGGAACCCCCTGTTTGTAACCATTGGATAAATTTTGAACAGCCCGATGGGCTCGGCCAGGAGGATCCTCTCCATTTGCTCAGGAGAGGATCCTGATCCCTTTAAAATGAGGGCAGTGACTTAGGCTTTGGCATTCTAGTTTAACGGGTGAAAATTTCAGATTATAGAGTCGGGTTAGTGGCATACTATCACACTGACATTGTCTTTTAACTTGTATTTTACTATCTACGCAGCACGGCATGTGCCAAATTTGAATATTTTATAACAAAATGTCTCGTTGTAATTAAATGTGCCTTTTAGATGTAGAATTTATATTTTCTGTTTAACAAAAACCACCCCGTTATAATTCTTCCATTGGCAGAGGGACCTTGATTGTTGGCTTCACTGGGGGTATGCAGGTAAGTGTGGATGTCGGTTAGAATTCAACCGGCCATGCGAAAAGCCAATGCGTGGTAAATTAAGAAATTTATTAAAGCAGTGTTTTGCTGCATTTAATAAAACGATAGTTGGTTGGTGCTATTTATACACATCTTTTTATTTTTTTATATAACTTTTAAAATTTTCAGTCTTTAGATCAAATGAATTAATGATGATCAAAGAATAGGAATTGACAGAAGTTATGTGGAAAGTAAAAATGATCTGTGGATAGCTCTATCCTTAACACAATAAGTGAACCAATGCTCGAAATTCTTAGAAACAACTGAGGATGTAGATATATATCTCTAGTTACACAATAGAATACCTCATTTAACCACATAGACAATAAAACTTCAATTAGCTAAAACCAACATACCAAAAAAAGCTCGTTTGGAAGATATTTGAAATAGCTGAAAGTATTTTTGGTAAAAATAATTTTAGAACTAATCTTTAATAAAAATGCAAGCAAATCTTGATAAACACAAAGTGTTTCTTAGAAAAAAAAAACACATAATTAATGCTTCTTGCAAAAACACTTTATGTACTTTGGAAATTTAAAAATATTTTTAATCATTTTAAAAGTATTTTTAAATAAGTCATATTAAAAATATAAAAAATAAAAAATAAAAAAATAAAAAAGCCTTTGGCTGCTGGAGCACATATATAATAAGAAAATGTATAGCTCTAATTGAGCAAAACACATAATTGTGTGTGGATTTTCCTACAATAAAATTACTGGTTGGTATTATATGGGGACTTGGATTGTCTGCCCTTCAATTTTGGTACCCTCCCCGTGCCCTCCTGTTTTTGTGGTCACGGTTAAACCACGTCAATATTTTATATTAATATTTCTTTTTGTTTTATTATTTTTATAAAAAAATAATATAAAATATTAACGTGGCTTAACCGTGACCACAAAAAACAGGAGGGCACGGGAAGGGCACCGAAATGGGAGGGCAGAGAATCCAAGTCCATTATATGGACATTTGATTTGATGTACAGAAATGAAATGAAAGTATAAAATAATCAAATCAAAGGTAAGCATCCATCTTGTCCATAAAATCAATGCCCCTAACGATCAAACATATGAAATGAAGGCTCCTTAATTCCAAGGCTTGAAGGAAAAAGACTGCGCAAGATCTTTGTCCAAATACAATTTGAAACCTTTTTCATTGAATTAAATAAAATATCCTTTTTCATAAAAATGAATATTGCACATCTATCCGTTGGATTTTGACCTAATTACACATGCATCCTCTATCATTTGAACTCAAGGGGCTATAAAAAAACTAGGGCTATAACCACTGTTGATATTTTGAATGATTTGGATCTTTATAGCCCAAAAATTCAAAATAATACCTAAGGTTGCGAAATGTAGTATAAATGTGTCTTTTCTTGTAGTACGGAAATACAATCATATGATGTAATTAGCTCTCTGATAGACAAAACAAATGCCATATCAAAACTATAGTGAAATTAAAAAAATATTATAGTTGAAATACTAGTCCACGTGATCTCCTTCTTTTTTTTTTTTTTTTTTTTTTTTTAAGGCTAAGGTATTTGATTCATTTAAAGAGAGAATCCAAAACAGATTCAACCAAGTACAAAAGGTTGGGGCGAGTTTTAACAGAGCCAACCAACATCAATAATTACAAAAGGTTGGGACGAGTTTTAACAGAGCCATTTGTCAGAAATAAAAACATCACATACAAAGTCTGGGGTTCTTTGAACCAGGAGAATTCACAAGTGGTTGAGAGAACGTAGCAGGCAAGGCGATGAGCAACCTCGTTGGAATGGTGACGAGCGTGCGTAGCATAAGCTCCAGTGATCTCAAGCAACATGGACTAAACGAAACAATTATTGTGTATACTGAAATGTATTTACATAATAAATCAATCAACATGTTCAAATATGAGTAGATAACGAGATTGATATATTCCACTATCAAAATATAGGGTAAAATACATTTTACCCCTCAGGTTTGGGATCGATTTCAATTCCTTACAATATCTTTAAAACATTTCAATTTCATACATCCGTTAGAAAATCTATTAAGTAAACCGTTAAGTGATGATGTGGCAAATATGGGATCCACATTTGTGATGACGTGGCTGCCACATCTGTGCCACGTGGCAAAAAATATATTTTTTATGCATTTAAAATATAATAATATTTACCCTATTAAAAAAAAACCAAACAAACCCAGAAACCCCCCCGACCCACTTCTCCATCTCCCCCATCTTCACCTCCCATTCCTTCTCTTTCCCCAGACCCACACCTCCCTCTTCACCCCCCCCCCGACCTACCTTTAACTTTGAGGCCTCATTCAAGACTTTCTAGAAGACGACGACGTCGGAGATTGCGAGATCGGGCAAATCACCTAATAGGCGTGTGGTCAATCGGTGCTTCGGATGCTGGAGAAAGGTTGGGTTGACCGGATTTAGGTGCTAGTGCGGCGAGCTCTTCTGCTCCAACCACCAATACTCCGGCCGCCATATGTGCAGCTACGACTATTTGGGGTTTTGGGTGGGGTGGGCGGGTTGCGGGGGTGGGATCGGGGGGGGGGGGTGTGAAGAGGGAGGAGTGGGTTTGGGGAGAGAGAAGGGGTGGGAGGTGAAGAGGGAAGAGATGGAGAAATGGGTCGGGGTGTTTCTGGGTTTGTATGGTTTTTTTTTTAAAGGTTAATATTATTATATTTTAAATGTTATTTTTTTGCCACGTGGCACAAATGTGGATCCCATATTTGCCACATCATCACTTAACGGTTTACTCAACAGATTTTCTAACGGATGTATGAAATTGAAATAAAATGATAAGTAAATATATGAAATTAAAATGTTTTAAAGATGTTGTAAGGAATTAAAATTGACCTCAAATCTAAGAGAGTAAAATGTAATTTACCCCAAAATATATTATCAAATTAATAAGTATTTGTTCATATTAAAAAATAATATAACACTTATTCTAATTAACCCACATGACAATATTCTAGTAGAGCACAATATTTATTTACTACT